AACATGGTTCATATTATTGGTTTCTTACTCTCAGCAAAAATTTTCAAAAAATACCAAGTCAGTTTTATAAAATTTTACCGTTATTCAAATAAAAGTTACCCACAAGCACGACAATGGCCAGAGTTGCATATACATTCCAAAGTCACCTTCAAGCACGCTTACCTGTGGAAAAATAGCTGATGTGGATGTTTATAATCCAATTTCTTACAAATTCTACACTGTTCAACCATATTCACACCTTAAAAATTTATCCAAAATACATATATAAACACTAATCACGTTTCACTTACTAAAATCACAACTATTTTCTAACAAGAGACGCCATATTCTGCCAACCATGGCAGAACGAACGAGGAACGCGCTACAAATTATTGCGTAGTTGCCAAGTCTTCAAGCATGGCAAATATGAAAATTGAAAAATAGTTTAATATGTACAGAATTTAACAATATTGTATGCATAACTTAATAATATTACCCTATAATAATAATTTTCACAATTGTGATGAAAATTGCGATAAAAATATTAAGTACATTTCCAGTATAATTATACAGCTGATAACAATGATACAATTAGACTGTGAATAAACGAGGCATCATCCAGAAATGTAAATAAATAAGTTCCCTTTATTTAAATGTCCTTGGTTCAAATCAAGTTTTGTCGCCAAAGGTGCATCTCTAAAAGATCGAAACCGATGCCTAACGGCAATGTAACGACTCACCGTGGCTCGATCGTCCGGAAAAACGCGTCAAATGACAAAATTTATTTTGACGTCTTCACTGACGGATATACCTACTTTAGGTATCTCACTCCCACCGAAAAAACTCGATTTTCGGCGAGGACTCTTTTTAAAGTGGAAAGTGCGAACTGATCGCCTTCAGAATATGACGTTTGGATAAAGAAAGGACCGAGCGGCCCTTCGGAAAGCCTTTGATAATACCGTACGCCTCTTTTCGCGGCCGAGTCTAGGAGCGAGAGTAACCTACAGCTTTTAATCTATATGGATTATTGAATAATTTTGTACTATGAAAATTTCCAAAGGGGGGAGGCGCCCCACAGTTCCTCCGCGCCAGCCGCCGTTGCTTCCATTTCATTAATATCTGGAGTGGTTTTGCACCACTTTATATTCTCTTTAAATTTTAATTTAAACGTACATCATTGTATTAAACCCATAAACTACTAAGCTGCCATAGTGCCACAGATTTGTTTTAGAAACAATATTTTAGGTCTCGATTAACGGACATTTGTCCAGCACTACACGCCATACAACACACCACGATATGACCTGATGGGGACGATGGGAATAGACAAAGCCAACGCACGACAACCATAGAATGGGGTGGGGTCACTCAATAATGAGGACATTTACGCCGATTTAGCTACAAGTGCACCAAATACGAATTTATCTACAGAATCTTTTTAATGAGTATTTCAGTGAGTCTCAGTTTTAGCTGAAATATTATCACAGATGAGTAAAATTATCAAAGTGCTAATATTGAGTGATACATTTTGCTCATTTGTATTTTCACTCAAATATAGGTACTCGTTAAATAAATTCTTAACGTAAACTCGTATTTGGGGCACTTGTACCTAAATCAGAGTAAATGTCCTTATTACTGAGTGAGTTTAAATGTATATTAATTTCTAGTGCCTAACTTGAATGGCGCCGTGAAGATGACACCACTTACATATTGCTTCTGTAATCTCGACCACAGTCGATAGGGGCCCGTTAGATGCTCCAGAAAAGCGTGATCGCCAGGAGAACAGGTGTTAGCCGGCGGCGGCGGATCTCAGCTGGCTGGTCTCAGCCAGGACAAGAGGAGGCCCCGCGAAGTGAATTAATTTCAACACTGTATATACTAATTAATCATTTATGAGTGATTTATTTTTGCACTCTATATTTAGTTAATTATAAACCGAGTCTGAATAAAAATGACTCAATAATAATTAAGTTTAAATCATATTAGAGAAAAAGTCAACTCTAAATTGGTTTTATATATACTCAAAATAGAGTCAAAAGTCGGATTTAAGTAAAACTCACTCATTTCTGATGCAATAGTTTCACTCAGTTGTACTCGGGTGTGGCCAGAAATTGATACATTATTGAGTAAAATTGAGTGAAATTTGAGTGAAATTTTTTTACAGTGTACCCATCGTGTAAAATTTTCTGACGGTTTTCGCCCAATTGAAGTTAAGGAAGATTATGTTAAAAATAAAACATAAAATCTAATATCACGAATCACAAAGTCGTCTTGACGATATTACTGTTTAGTAATCTGTTTAAAATTATCTAATAGAAATTATATAAATCTTCTAAAACAATAATCAAAAACTTTGCTTTGACAGGAGCAAATATCTATAATTTAATTATGAAAATTAACTCCATTACATTCGTTGACGCTACTTTATTCTTATGGGCGATTTTGTATTTTGTTCTGGTAACGTCATAGTTTGATAGAGGACCAATAGGACCAATTAGTGCACAAAGACGGTCATTAAACAATAATAAAAAAAAAATGTTTTTCTAGTTCCCTTGTGAAGTTATGCCTCTGAAATAAACTTACTGTAAACTTGGTTTTTCTTCTTTCTTCCATATCTTTTTTATTCTTGAAAGTAGAGTAATGAAAATCGATACGTACATAAAATCATATCCTCTATATTTTAAGAAGATTAAAATATTTTCTAGGCCTTCTAGATCCTTATATTTTTATAACCAACTTTTCATTTCCTTGTGGATGCCATATTTGATTTGAAGTATTAAATTTCAACGATGTATAATATAGGGGTGAAGAGATTTTATTAATAACCAGAAACATCAATTTTATGATTTATTTAATTTAATCGCAGTCGATGCAAAGAAGTATTCTGCGGGTCACGTTTCTTACTGAATCTTGAACTGCTTCCGGTGGAATTAATTGAAGCACTTCTGCTATTTTACAATACACCTTGGACTAGTCTATCATAAATTCTATTCTTTGCAAATCTCCAGAGTAAATAATCCAAGTGATTTAAACAAGGGGGCCTTGGTGGCCAGTGTATAGAACCATGAGTTAAAATCCAGGAGTTATTAAAACGTTCAGCCAAAAATAGTTTAACAATTCCGGTATTATGAGGACCAGCTCTTACTGAAACCACTTCAAATTTTTCAATTTACATACAATTTATAGTCCATAATATTTTAACAGTTAAATCTGGATCTACCCTCAATCTTCGTTTGATTGTCTTCAGGATGCAATGTTTGCAGTATTTGAACTGGTTCGATTTTAAAATCATGATAATTATGTTTTCTTAAAATTTTTTAACTCCCGACTTATATAAATTACATTCTAATGTCATTTGTCGTTGTGATACTTCCGGATATATGATAATTTGTGCCAAAACATTAATTTCATTTACAGTTCCATTACCAACATGATTTCTTACATTCTTTAAAGTATCATATTCTTGTAATCGCTTGTATAAGCCTTGAAAAATATTCCCATTTGGTTGCCTTCTTTTAGCATACATATCTCTTCATAACGTTGTCAGCCATTGAATTTCTGTTATATTGCATGTAACCATTATACATATCCATTATGCCATTATAAACAAGTAATAAAAACACTTCAGCATTTATTTACAACAGTAAATGAATTTGTTTACTTTTAAGCAGAACTGCCAAAATTTTTCTTTGTTTTTTATGGCAACTACGATTAAATTAAATAAATCTTAAATTGTAAAGTTTTTTGGTCCTTAATAAAATTTTTTCACCCAAGTATTATACATTGTTGAACTCGAAATTTAATGGCATGAAAATATGCAACTTTTTGTAATTTAACAAAACATGTAATTGCTCTAGATACTAATGGTGTAAACCTTAAAAGTGGCCACCCTGTATACATGATTTCTTGGAACTTCTTTATGCTAGGTTGACCTAAATGCCAAATTATTCTGTATGACGTGAATTCTTTTTAGGTGGATATTCAAAAAAAATGTAATTTGCATGAAAAACAGATTTTGTTATTTTTAAGTGTGGAATATTTTATGATCTAGTTTGTCGAAGATGGCATAGATCATCGACTGAATGTCATATTCTTGAATTTCTTACGAATCGCGAACGGAAACAATTTTTCTTTTTGTACACCTGTACCGTCTCAAAATGTTTCGATACAGGACTGCTTTGCTAAGGCTCAACGTTTCTCGATCACTTTATTCACGTTAAATATTGTTCACATAATTTAATAAAATGAAATAACTTGTGAAGTGTGATATATGTACATAGCACCTGCAATTAATGATCTATTAATAACTTTGCATGTAATTGTTTATTGTTTGCTTAAGTTCAAAGCAAAGTGGGAACCAATGAATCAAAACGTGACTTTATTTCCACTTTCCTGTCAATATTGCTGATAACTTATCAACAGCTGACTAATATACAGGGCTGAGGAATAGTTCCGTTCAGATTTAAGAATGAAACATTTTTTATTTACCTTATCTTAAATAAACTACCGCTGTACAGTAAGTCTATTTAAGTTAAATTGCAGTGGCTTTCACACTATTAATATGCGGTTTATGCTGTCATATTCCCTATTGCAGCCTGCTACCATATCGAGTTGGTCTATCGCTCTAGATACCATTTTTCGTATTATTAACATTTAAATTGTATTCGGGTCCAAGGCTTGCCCCATTACATATCTTTATGCCGGTGAATAATACTTAATAGTAATGCGAGACATCTGTGCTGACGCATTGAAGGAACTTCGAGTCTCTTTTAGCGTGAATCCTTGTGTCAGTTTTTCTTAAGAATAAAACTATGATTTTATGTTTTCTATTTTTAAGTCTCTTTTAACTGCAGGGAATGTTCCCTAAACCATTTTATGCCAAAAAACCTTAACGACCCAAGTGAAACATAGGCGGCGCGCAAGGGACAACAGGGTAAAGCTATGACCCGGGCTTAAAATATATTGTTTGAGAGTTAAATGATATGAGTTAACTCTTTAATCATCTTTACAGTTTATTGATACCTAAAGTGCCTCTGTCCTATTTTATACATTAATATTTCTGAAATTGTTCAAAACGTTGTTAGATACATCTTATAAAGTTGTTAATTTATTTTTTACTAAAAAATATATAGATGCTGTTAATAGGCGTTCCACGGAGCGTTATGCAGATCTAACCGCTTGCCATTGTCGTCATTGCCGCCATCGTTGTACCTGCTGGCATGTTGCTACTCATTGCGCCATTCCCAGGAGTCCCATTTCCGGGAGCCCCGTTTCCAGGGGCCCCATTTCCTGGTGTTCCTATGTTTCCGCTGACATTTACCACCACGGCGTTATGAATGGCAATTCCAGCACTTGAAGGAGAGCCCGAACTCTCTTTTGAATCATCTTCATCGTCGCAGTAATCCCACCAGCTTCCGCAGAGTCCCTGAAAAACACAAATAAATCAAATCGTGACAAGCCAATAGGTATAGTCTTTCCGATCACAATTGAAGAACTAGTGTGACAGTATGTACCAAGTTTGGTCGCTGACAAAGCAACTTGGCACGGAAATATTTGAAAAACTTGTTCCCATATTTATTTAGCCATAGCCATATACAGGTCTGGTCGAACTAAACGTGGAGGTGGCAGAAATATGTGGCCCAGTTGAAGAATGCTAGCGCGGGCAAACGAAATACAAATACAGCTGCATTGGGCCACTGGGCAATAAATCTCAGCCGTTGACAAGTGGTCGACAAATTGCCCAGCAGTGCAGTGCAGCAATGCGGAATTTGGTGTGATTCAGGTAATTTTAATTTATTATACGCACCTTCTATTAATCATTGATTACGAAAGGAAGAAATAATATTATTACAACATGGCATTTTGGAGACCTTTTGAAACGGAACAAAACGAAATTTACCATCAATATAATAAAATGTTTGAAGACATAAATAATTAAAATTTGTTTTTGGCCAAATGAACATATAATAGAAATTTTCTGCTCATTATATGCAAATTATTATAATTACCTTTATCAGAAAACTTTTTTAGGGACGCCTATGTAACTCATTAAATTTTATTGCCAGGCGTTTTTTACATGTTCAACTGACTTCGGAAGGACTATACCTACATATTTATTCCGCAAATGTTTTTTTTATTTATTTGTACGCTAACGGCTCAATCAGCTAAAAAAAATACTTTTAATTTTAATTTACTAAGTAATTATAAAATGACAAATTACTGTTGTTAACAGAAATAGTGTCTATAATGTAGAGGTTGTATCCTAAATTTATGTCATAAATTAAAGGCCCAAAAGCCTTAATAAACCAGGGCCCTAAAGTTACTGGTTTCCAAGATAGGGGGCGTTAAATTTTTTGAAAAATATTACATTTTTCTATTATCTCTGAAGTTTGACGTAGATTGACGAAATCTTGGGCAAATGATGTAACTAATTAAAGGTAATAATTCGGTATACTTCTATATAAATCTGTCAACCAATGACGGAGATTCAGAGGAGCTTTGTTATTAAAACCCTCAGAGAAACTACGCCACTGGATTTTCAGAAAAATTAATAGGTTCGTTTAATTTACTGTTATATTTAATAAAAAAGGTCTCGCATTTTCTTCGCACAACAAATCAATTTCGAGTTATAATTTTTTTTTTATCATATTTAATTTTAAAATAGTTTCTAATAGGTATTTCATGTAGATTTAAGACAACGAATCATAAACGGTTCTCAGCAAGCCAGACAAAAAACTGAAAATGTCCACCATTGGCAGCAACACAAACGATGAGCCTTCGCCTCAACAACTGTCCTATATTTTCAATAATTAATATTCCTACATATATCTGATAAACAGTTGGAAATTATTTTTATGTCTTAGACAATTGGTTACATACAGGGTGATTCAAAATTCAATACAAAGCATTTAGAGGCAAATTTTTGAGATCAAAATAAGACTTTTCTTTCTATAAACGTGAGTCCACAAATGCTTACCTACTATTCGATATACAGGGTGTTGAAGTTTTTTATTTTTTCGATTTTTTAGGAATAATTTCCAAACAGATTTGAATGTTGGCATAACACTTGAGGTACGGAGGTTTTTTAGAATGATAAATTTAAATATATCATTGGTTTTGACGCTGCTCTTAGAGGGCGCCACCTATAAGGGTACGCTTGAATTAAATTGGCCCTAACTTTTTTGCTACCCTGTACATTGACGTTTCGTATTAGTACGTTTAATCCTCTATCAAATTTAAGCAAAAAAGATAGACTTGGTCGAAATCTCTTAGGCCAACCGTTGGATGATGAAGAGTTAAATGCACATCATATTTTCAAATTTTAATAACTATTTACCGTGACAAAATTTAAAATTTATTTTCACCATCTAATTAGTAATGGAACGATGTTGAATTTTACCTCTTTATACAACTAACCGTTTTCGAGAAAATTATTGCTGACTAAACGGTAGTATTGTCACTAGTCAGCGTGATTTTCTCGAAAACGGTTACTTGTATGAAATTAATGTAAACAGCTAAAATTCAAGATCATTACTGATTAGATGGTTAAAATAAATTTTAAATTTTTTCACGGTAAATAATTGACAAAATTTGTAAATGTGTGCATTTAACTCTTCAATAGCCAATACCTCGGAAATGGTTGGCCTGAGAGATTTCGACCAAGTGCTTAAAATTGATAGGGGAATAATCGCACTTATACGAAACGTCAATGTACAGGGTAGCAAAAAAGTTAGGGCCAATTTAATTCAAGCATACCCTTATATGTAGGTAGCTCCCTCTATAAGCAGCGTCAAAACCAATTCCATATTTAAATTTAGCATCCTAAAAAACCACTGAACCCCAAGTTTTATGGCAACATTCAAAGTTTGTAAATTATTTCTAAAAAATAAAAAAAAATTATATCCTGTGTATATAAAACTAAGCATTTGTGGATAACGTTTATTGGGAAAAAAAGTCTTATTTTGACCTCAAAAATACGCCCCTAAATTCTTTGTACTGAATTGTGAATCGCCCTGTATCGGCAGACACAGAGTAAAGTACAATCACAATCATAGAAAAATACGTATCCTGAATAAAAGGTAGAATGTTTGTTAAAACTCAACTCTTCATAAAATATTTAAAAACAGGTATAATATTTACCATAAAGAATAATTCCTCGGAAATGCTGACCTCAAAAGCTTTATCAAGATAACAAATTAGCGAAATTGGTCTATAAACACATCACCTTTTCCATCAGCACTAGGACCTTTTTTATATATAAACTTTTCAACATTACGATTTTTTTTGTTTTGTAGCCGTTAGAGGTATTAAAACCTGTATTTCAATAATTTTTCGTAACTAATAGAAAAAGGAGTCGTTGAAGGTTAAAAAAGACTACCGATAAATAGAAAAAGGATCGCAAGTCGATTTTGTATCGTTAACAACAGAATTGGGCGCGTGGGTTAGAACAAATCATTTAAAATTCAGGGGTTTATTTTTGGAAAAACGCACAGACACGTCGATTTTTATTTTTGGCTGCGGTTTTTCTGATGATAAATTCATATATACAGGGTGGCCCAAAAATAAGTTACGACAATCAACTTTAATTTTTCAAATGGAAATAACTATTTTTTATTTCATTTTTGAATTCTGCTCTGAAATCTAAGTATATTGTACCTACCATGTCCTATACGTATAGTCAACAGTGATCGAGAAATTTACTATTTATTTATTTATTAATAAAACAAAACAACAAATCAAATTAAATGTTCAATTTGTTGACCACACAGGAAAAGAAAAAACAGCAAAAAATATTGACTCCACTGTCAGTATGCAGTGTAATAATTTTAACAATATTTTTGAATTAATATTTTTTAATATCCAGTTCAGTTGTGGAGCAGTATATTATCCACTTGATTTCTGAGGGTTTTTTTCTAAATCGAGCAAAACATTCAATTGTGTGCTTATTTTGTTTTTTTCTTAATTCTGATCATGTTGATTGTCGACTTCTCATCGTTTAGTCGCAAGAAAACTGTATGACAATTTGACTTAAATTAAGTAATTGTCAAGTGCAGTTGTAAAGTTTGAAAGAACAGTGCATTTAACTGAGAAGCAACTAATAGAAATTTTGATGATGGTAGGATATGGCACAGAACTAGAACATAAGCTGAAGTTTGCGAATTGTTTAATGATAAGTACCCGGCCTATTACACGATCGGTAGTGAGTAAGATAGAAAAAATGTTTGGAGACTTTGGCCACGTAAGAGACAATTACGAAACCAAGTTCGATTTGCCTATTGTCAGGACATTTAATTTGATTTGCTGTTCTCAGTCCGCAGGACATCACTCATTGCATTTCCGACAAAAATCATGCAGCGTATGAGTAGTCCGGTGCCCCAAAAAAGTCAAAATGACGAGATCATATTTCCTCACACATGCATGTCGGACAAAAGACAAAAGTAATACATGAATAATATCTATGTCCGACAAAAAAACAAAAAAAAATATTGTTAAGAAATTTCATATGTTTTATACTTCTCTATTTAGATAAACAGTACATACTCCAAAATATTTCTACACACACTTACTTAATTTAAAATCCTTCGTATACAATCACGAAGTGACGTAATAATATAATTTCCATCGGAAACTAAAATCCCAACTTTTTTTAAATATTTTTAAATAAATCTAAGAATATTATTTTTTATGGGTAAAATCTTTCTTTGAAAACGAATAAGTCTGAAATTATATTATTATTATTAGTTTTATATGAAAAGGATTTACTGTTTTAATTTTTATTAACAGGTGCTTTTGTTGAATGTGCATTTATAATAAAAAAAAAATGAACGTTAGGAAGATAATGTTAGTATTTTAATCTTTGACCAAAAATATTTTACGTAAGTATGGTAATTTATATTATTCTAATCTTTGAATCAACCAAAAATAATAGCAATAATAGCAATTCTACATTTTGATAATTTTTTTATTTCGATTCGTTCATCTAGAAATATTAAATAACTATCATTTCTAGAAATAATTTACTACAAAAAATGTATTTTAATTTTATACTACAACCATTTAATAAGCAATTTAATATAAAAAGTGCAAGGTATCCACTTGAAAAATGAGAAATACAAAGAAAAAAATGCTATTTAATATTAATCAATAATTACAAAATCTCATTTTATCTGTAAACCCTAGCATCTATTTTTCATTTTTCATTTACTCTATTATAATAAAAAAAAAGTACAAAAATATTAAATTAAATTTTCATTCAGTATTTTATAACAAATTATAACAATTATTATAAATGAAACTTAAAGTAACAATGACTTTTTTTAAATAATTATTTTATCAATACTTCTATTTTTTATCAATAGCCTCTTTATTTAAGAAATACGTTTATTTAAGATCTAGTAATAATATTTTATTATATAAAGAGCATTGCGTTTTTACATTTATAAAAAATATACCTAAATTTAACATTTTTATCATGTACCTCTCTCTACGAAAAAGTACGATACCGATGATATTTCCATATCATGACTGGAATATTAGAAAAATTCGCATTTAATAAAATTTTGATTATTAAGTTAAAGTTTGAAACTTTATTTTTATTATATTTTATAATTTTTTTAAATTATTTAAGTAATTAAAAAAAGTTCGATTTTTATTAATTTGTGGTGTTGTTTTTGTTGGACGCATATTTTTTTGTAATAAATACTTTATTACAAAATGTAAAAAAATAGACTTGCATGTATGAGGAAACATAATCTCATCATTTTGACATTTTTAGAGCATCGGACTACTCGTACGCTGCATGATTTTTGTCGGGCAAGTTGACCAAAGTTTGTTTCACCAAATTACTTAAGCAATTTACGCAAAATGAAACTTGCATGTATAAGGATACATAATGACGCCATTTTGACATTTTGGGGATGGTGGACAAATGGGAACGCGGCATGATCTTTGTCGGACAAATTTTTTTTTATTGTTTTATCATAAAAACTTACCATTCCGATAAAAAAGAAAAGTGCATATATCGCATTGTAGCACAGCGTCAGAACGACAATTCCCGGAATCTCTCGTTGGAAAACGCGGCAACACCGAAAATTTTCGAAGAGGAAAAGTTTGTCGAACTCGTTATAAAGAAGGCACTCACAAAGTTCGGCACTTGCATGTATCACTAAAACGCAATGAGTTATGTTTGATTAATGAATAAATTAATTAATCGTAAACTCGATAACTTTTGAGTCCATGTATGGTACGTGAAACATACTTAGAATTCGGTGCAAAATTCATAAATGAAATAAAAAATAGGTATTTCCATCTGAAAAAATGAAGTTCGTTGTCGTAACTTATTTTTGGGTCATCCTGTAACATGAATTTACCATCAGAAAAACCCCAACCAAAAATAAAAATCGACGTAGCGTTTTTTCCAAAAAACAAACCCCTTAATTTTAAATTAATTTATTCCAACCCACGCATCTTCATTGTATACAGGATGTTTCAGTTCGAGTGAATCAAACTTTAACCACAAATAGAACTCAATAAATAATTAAGAATTGCCTTATAAAGCTAGAGTCTAAGTCTCACCGTTTTCATGGTGCAGGGTTGTGAAAATTATATTATTTACGAAATCTTTAATATGCTTATAACAAATTGATTCAAATTTGGTCTGGTGTTAATATTTATACATGTGCATAATTTACTGTAAAATTTACAATTTTTTGTAGGTCAGTGGCATAGGAATGGATGGTAAACTGGGATTTTTTTACCCCACTTTCTACGCCAATGGCCCAATAATCATTTGGGATTCATTTTTAGATTCCGTGGACAATTCTACATAAAAAAGGTAGTAACTTATTTTTTGTGCTTAACTTTGTGGATAAGAAATCAAACATGATATAAGTTTATGACTTATCACTTTTGAACTCAGTGATCTAAGCAACTTACAGCTTTTTAAAAAAAGTAACTTTTTGACTTTATTATTGCATTTTGACAGTTAGTTGTCAGCTTGTTGACAGCTGTAAGCTGATGACTACATAATTTTATATCATATTTATATTCACTTATCTAAAAAACTTGAAGTTATAAACAAAAAATAATTTTTTGACTTTATTACCGGACTTTGAAGAATTGTTGACAGCTAAATGACAGCTGCCAATAGTCATTGTTATTGATTTGATATCGTCTTTGAACTTATCGAACTAAAAAAAAAAGAAAGATAAAACATAAAAAAACAAGTTTTTGGCTTTATTATAGCACATTGACAGCTATTTGACAGCTGCCAACTGTCAATTTTGAAAATCTAACAACAGATCTGAATTCAGCAACCTCAAAATTATAAACCTAGATAATAAAAAAATGAAATAGGCTATTTCAAAAGTCTATACACACTGCGCATATACATAAATCCGTGGAGGATATCGGAGCTTTAAAGCTCTGTACCGGCCAAACTATCCATTTTTGAGCTTTGTGACCATTGAGACAATTGACCAGTATGATGAACTCTATCACATATCAAAAATTCAGCGAATTTGACCGGGACCGAATTTCCATAAGATTTGTGCGGGGTCCTTTGAATCAATTTGTTATAAGCATACCAAAGATTTCGTAACTAATATGATTTTTACAACCGACTAATACGGTCCTGTACAGTGAAAACGGTGGGACTTAGACCCTTGCTTTACAAGGCAATGCTGAATTATTTATTGAATTCTATTTGTGGTTAAAGTTTGATTCACTCGAACTGAAACACCCTTTATAGAGGAATACGTGTTGAATTTATTAGTAAATATGAAAATGACGTAACATTGAGATTAACACAACTACCATGCATGAAAATTGCACAGGATTCAATAACATGTATTATAAAAAATTATTATAAAAGTTACTGCTCGCAAGCTTTTAACAGAAGCTGTGGTCATCACCCCGGATCTACCCTACCAAGAGCGTTACTTAATATACGACAACAGAAAATAACGAAAAAAAGAACCTAAAGTTTTAATACCTGTCCCGCCTATAACGAAATTGTTAATTGGTGTACGCGAAGCAGTGCAAACAACGAATATTATAAATGTACCTACCAAATCGAAAATGGGAGCAGCCCATGCGATGGGGGCCACCGCGAGGGCGACCACCAGCAGCGCCCCGGTCACCATGCTCACCGAAATCGCGGCTATAAAGCTGTCTTCGGACTTCCAAAGGAGCCAGCGGGACCGCCACTATATATGACCGGCCCAAACACTCGTTATTCACACACACAATCATAAATAGGTCCAGCCTTGTTAGCCGCACGTCTGCCGTTTTGTTTTCGCCGCGCGAGGACCGTTTCGCTATATTTTAGTGGAATCCTACGTGCCCGGGAATACCCTCCGTGCTAATATCCCTTGCCCAACAACGCCATTTTTCTTGCAGGAGTTACTCAATGATGCATATTTTGCGGGCAGAAATTAACAATTCCGAAACAAACAGGAAAATTGGAAAAAACTGTTTTTTCTGAAAGAGGAATTAAAAAAATTAAAACAATTGAAAAAATGAAAAAATTTAAGACATTCAAAATAAAAACTCGTAAAAATATATACAGGGTGTCCCGGAAATGGTGGGCAATCCCTCGGATATGGATAGATAATGAGAAAATAATGTCACAAGTTCATATAAAATTTTTTCCTCCGGGCTCACCCTGTAGAGTTATTAGCTCTTGAAGTTGAAAATTAAAAATGTTTTTTTTGCTATAACTTTTGTATTTTTCAATAAATTTTGAAAATTTTTTGCCTGGATCTATAATTTTTAAAGCTGCTTTGGATCATAATATGAAATCCTCGATAATAATTATGGGGGCCCGGGGGCAAAGCACCCCCACCAAAATTTCTAGAAAAAAAATGTTTGTTCCACTATACCCCAAATTTTCCATCATTTTATAAAAATGTATGGTATTTTACGTAAAAAAGGTATACTTGTTGAATATCCATAAAATAGATATTTTTTTATATAAACCCGTTTAAAGAGGAAGGTACCATTTAATTTGAGAGATTTTATTTAATTGAAATGCAGATTTAATCGTGGTTGGCTTTCATCACTCATTTCATAACTCATAATTTGTTATAAAATATGGAGTATTCCAATGAAGAATATGCTGATATGCATTTAATGTACGGGCGGGCTCTTTGTAATGCTTCGGCAGCAAGAAGATTTTACCAGCATTCTTATCCTAATAGAAGGATTCCGGAACGCAAAACTTTCGAACGTATTGATCAAAGATTAAGAGAAACTGGTAAAATACGATTACTATTATTAAACAAAATGGATATTAAATAAATTTTAATGTCTTTAGGTCAGCTTGCTCCTGTTACTGCAAACAGGGGTGCCCCGCGAACAGCACGTACAGTTGAAGTAGAGGAAAATATACTGGACGAAGTTGCTGCTCATCCAACAGTTAGCATTACGTCATTATCTTCTTTTACCAATGTTCCAAAGACCACTGTTGCAAGAATCCTTAGAGAACAGCTTCTTCACCCTTACCATATCCAAAAAGTGCATGCTCTTAATCCTGATGATTTTCGTGCAA